AAATTAATAAATAAAGTAATTTTTTATCAGTACTGGATAACAGGTACTTCATAAATAAGAGCAAAAAAATATATACATTAAATAGGGATGCATCGATACACAAAATTCACGGTTTGGTTCGGTTCGATACTTTGGTGTCACGGTTCGATATTTTTTCGATACAAAAAAATGTTCATGCTTTTTTAATTTGCCATGTATTAAAATTATAAATATATTTTTTAACTCAAATGTACAGTTTTTTAATTTAATGTTGCTGAAACAACAAAGGGATAAAATAATAAATCTATCTGATCAAGAAATCACTCATCTTTGGAAAAGAGAGTTTATTACAGAGAAATGGCTCTTTCCAAAATAAAAGCTATACTATATGCTTCTTCGGGGGTATATTCTCAGCAGCATATTAAACATACCAGGTCCCCATAAGGAGAATCATGTGCTAACGGCTGTCTAAATGACTCGGGTAAAGTTTGTAGCATGTGTGCTTGTTGTTTTTGTCTGCTTCCTCTTGTCTTTGCACTAGGATGATGTCGGAGTAAATGTGCAGTCATGTGTTCCCACTAGTGCTGTCAGTGTTAATCTGAAATGACGTTAACGCCACAACATGGTAAATCTCCGTTAACGAGCTACCGCGGATCACCCCGTGCGCGGGGCTGGACGGCATCAACACGTTAACGAGCAAACTGCGCTAATGCAGTAGTTCCCACCCATGTAATTGAGCATTGTGTGGCACATCCGAATACTGTTTTACTTTTGTCCATGACGCGCTTACCTTCAGGGTCATACTTCACATGAAGACCAAAAAAGGCCAGATCTGAATGAGGGTGGAGGAGGTTCAATTTGCCATGTTGCAATGAGCTTAGCTTCTGTCTTGCTAGCTTGCGCTGCGCTCAGTGGATCTGCGCTCGACAGTGCAGTCTAGGCGGAGTAGTCGAACGCAGATCCACTGAGCTCTCAACACAGACAGCATTGTCAGAAGAAAAGTTGATAAAGTAAATTAAAACTTTTGTATTGTTCGATACATATGCTTACCGAACCGAAAGCACTGTATCGAACAGTTCAATATCGATACGAGTATCGTTGCACCCCTAACATATCTATTTGAGTTCAGCATTAAAGTTGTCTGAGTTCACGTTTGTCTCCGGAGTCTGCACTTTGGGTGCTCCATTTCACCACTCCTGCCTGCACACTAGTGATGGTGAGATGAAGCACCCAAAGTGCAGACTCCGGAGACTTCTTCAGTCTGAAGAAGTCACTTGGATGAATCTCCAGATGAACAGAATCAACCTTTTGGGTTGAAAACAGATTTGTCAGCTATTTTAATGATATTCCAGTACAGAGGCTCAGAAATATACAGATGGACAGAGGGAGATGCTGCAACTGTTTGAAAACTTGAGGATTTCAGGGAAAAGAAAAAAAAAACACAAACCCCCCCACAAACCTGCAAAGTGTGCTTCTTCTTCAGTTCAATTCATCCATCCATCCATCCATCTTCATCCACTTTATCCGTAATTCAATTCAATTCAATTTTATTTATATAGTGCCAAATCACAACAAAAGTCGCCTCAAGGCGCTTCATAGATACAGAGAAAAACCCAACAATCATATGACCCCCTATGAGCAAGCAATAGGGGGTCTTGAGTTCTTCTCTTCCTATATCAGCACTTATGTGGTGGTATTGTCTGAGTGGCGACACCTATTATTCAGGAGAATATTGCAGCAGGTAAAATAGAAATGGCTGTGTGATGACGTTGTGGCGTCAAGTGAAGCAATCGCTGCAGAGGGTATACTAGTATGCTTAGAAAGTGTTAAGAACTGTGCACCACTATAGTGAAGTAAATGCTGAATAATCAACAGACTTGTAGAATTGTAGAAAACAGAGAAAACTCAACAAATATATGAACCCCATGAGCAAGCACTTTCGTGAGATTGAGAAGGGAAAACTCCCTTTTAACAGGAAGAACCAGGCTCAGGGAGGGGCGGCCATCTGGTGCGACCGGTTGGGGTGAAGGGGAATAACTCACCAAATTTCACATCAAATGTGAAAATCAGTAAAAAAAACATTCTATACCCACTTTTTTTTTAATGGATGATATTCAAACTCCACAACAATTAAACTGGGCCTCGGGGGGACATGATTACCTAGACGGGTTAAACATTTGACGTTTAACTTTATTGTTAGCAAGGGCAAAGTTAACCTTGGGAAAATAGAATTAAAGAAACTATATCAAGTAATATATCTTATGAAAGGGCAGGGAGACAGCTTTACAACACACTTTATTTTTTTTGCTATACAATGCCTGATGATGTCACATTAATGTGATAAAGTGTAGCAAAATTTTTTATATATATATATATATATATATATATATATATATCTTTAAACTCTTAGAGCTTATAGAAGCCAAAGATTTTAGCCAGTAAGTAATTCCTCAGGGTCATAGCTAAAATGTCAGGGGTCACATGAAGTAGGAGAAAGTTTTAGTTTCCATTTGATTATCTCCAAACTTTAAATCAATATATTAGTCATTGAGTGACATAAGAACATTCTTTAACATGTTTTTTTTTTCCCAAAACAACATTATATGACTTCATAATGACACAAAAATATAAATAATACTATACTATTTCTATATTAACAATGCTGACATCAGAATAAAAAGTCAGTTTTACTAAAGTCTTTTCCCTTCAGGTGGAGTCGGGCTCTTTTAGTCCTCTTGTTTAAAATATGTTTCATAAGGCAATATCTCTACAGCTCCCACTACTCATCACTGTGTGGTCACTGTCAGTTCAAAACCTGAAGCAGAATTAAGGTTTTGACTAGAACATTTGAATTTCAAAATAAATTTTCTAAATGATGGGAGTATTGCATCGCTGTGGGAAAAAAATCTGATGTTCAATTAAAGAAATAGGTGAATTTCATTCTTATGGATGGAAATTCAAATATTTTCAGTATAAAGTGAGAGAATACTCCACTGACTATGGCAGGAGAACAAGTAAAAGCCAAAGAGAACAAAAAAAACCCTTCTAAATGACATCAATATCTTTTGTAAAATCACTTTGATGTCAGATACTCATAAGGAGGAACCTATCTACAATCAAAATTAGATGAGTTGTATTAATAAAACCTCAGGGTGCATTAATTCATTCCAGAGTAAAGTGGATTGAAGATGATGGAGAAAAGGGGAAAAAACACAAACAAAACTGTTCCTATTACAGTAAATTAGAAAGAATGCAACCCCAAAGAACCAAAAGTAATAACTGATAAATTATGTACATTTAGTTAAAACCAATACTCTTTTTAATTTTCAGTGTCTCATTCCAAGAACTGTTTAAAAATGTAAAATGATTCATCTGCCAGATTGATTTAGATCTGAACAAGAAATTTGACTTAATTGACTCAAATTGAGAATTGAAGAAGTTGATTCTGCTATAAGGAAAATTAACTTTGGGAAATGCCTTTTGAAGCATTTGGTTTTTATTTAAATTTGAAAAAATATGTGATTCTAACAATCCATGATAACAAGCTAAGCTTTATTCATAATGTTCTGCTTGAATATTTAGGGGTAACTGTCTGTAAAATCATAGTGATATGGAAAGTAATAATGTTCATTCTGTTTTACAAAAGAATTAAAAAAAAATAAATGGCTGGTTTCAGAAATGTATCTCAATTTCTGGAAGAATTTTGATAAAGATGGAAGGAATCCAATGACTTGTTTACCTAGCATGGATTTTAGCTGTATCAAACAGAAACTTTAAAAAGATAAATCAAATTCTTTATAATTTAATTTGAAACAATAAGTGATATCTCATTGGCAAACGATATATGGTAAAAACTGTAGAAAAAGGAGTTATAGATGTAATTAATTTTAAAATAATTAATGGTCTTACTAAGATTAAAAAAATAAGGTTGCAGACATTTACCAAAAATCAACACCAGTTCACCAAAAAGAAAATATTGAAACTGTCCAAAAATGGTTGGCTTTGAAGAATGTAATTCCTGTGTAAGTGTGGGTTTTTTAATGTGCTGGGTTTTTTAAATGCAAAAAAACAAAACAAACAAAAACAAAAACACAGAATTTTTGTGTAATAACATTTTAATTATTAGAAAGTACTAGTGTATATATATGGAATAAGCCCCAGTTTAATAGAAAAAAAAACAGGGACAAACTGGGCATATGTCTTTAGTCTGACATCTTTAGTCTATACACACACACACACACACACACACACACACACACACACACATATATATATATATATCATAATAATCTGACAATACATATAATATTGGCCATATTATATTTACATTACCACAGTGAGATGATTTTGGTCTCATGAACAACATTAGCTAATTGTTATTTACTAACTAATCTTGAAGTGACTGTTCAGTACAGAAATGAAGCCCAACAATCATGTTTTACAGTCCTGTGGTCTCAGCCTCAGATACTCAACTAATCAAAGTGATGTCATGACAAGAATGAATGACCAACAAAACATTTTTTCTCCTTCATTTCTGTCAAACAAAGCTGAATATAACGTTTCTCGCGGTTAGTATCATGGTTGCTAGGCAACCTGAACAGCGCGACGGAGGCTAGACCGTCCCATTTCACAGGCCTCTCACTTCCGCACTTCTCGTACGCACCGTACGTAGTATGCGTAGTGCGCGTACTTCAAGCGTGCAGACCCTGAATTGGGACACAGACCCTGAATTGGGACACAACTAAGGAAGTTGTGGCGCTTAATGACTCTTCCGGTTGGAGCTGAAGCCTTTCAAAGTAAAAGTAAAGCTTAGAGCAAATGTTCACTTAATGAAAGAAGAGAATACAATAATAACGATTTACAGTATTCACTTTTTAACAACAGAAGCCAAAGATTAGCAATTAGCCTGTTAAAGCAGAGTAAAACATAAAATCTGTTTGCAAAGTCTTTTTAATGGGAATACGAAACTATTTCTATCAGGCTCAAATTTGGCTTTTATTTTGAAAAAGTCAGATCGGAAATCTCTTTGTTGACGGCACTGACCAAACAGCAGTCATGTTTGGCTTTTTCATACAGTCAGTTTGCTGGTCTTGAGCGGCGTATTAGCTCATGTAAATGTCCCAGCTTTTACTCAGGTTCGTTTTCTTCATCTGCACTCATGAACAGGACACAGCTGAAGCGCTCCAGCATCTTGAGGATGGCATTGAGCGGTTCTGAAATGATGGACCGGGACGAATCCAGACAGACTTTCGTATTTCGAGCAGTGAGAATAGCAGTTGTGGTTGCGCTATACTGGTTTATCTCGATAACGATGGTGTTCCTCAATAATCACCTGCTGGACAACAAAGACTTGGACGCGCCGTTGTTCGTCACTTTTTATCAGTGTGTGGTCACTGTTGCACTTTGCTGGCTCATGCAGCTGCTATCAAAAATGTGCCCCCGACTCATCAACTTCCCCTCGGTCAGGTTTGACGTGAAGCTGTCCCGGGAGGTTCTGCCGCTGTCCATCGTGTTCATCGGCATGATCACCTTCAACAACTTGTGCCTGAAACATCTCGGGGTGGCTTTCTACACGATCGGCCGCTCTCTGAGCACAGTTTTCAATGTGCTGTTATCGTACATTATCCTGAAACAAACCACGTCTTTCAGGGCTCTGGCGTGCTGTGGGATCATATTAGGTGCGTTTACCCTGACATGTTCCTTATAATGATTTGCATGTGATAATTGGTCACTGAATGTAAATAAGTCTGCACTCAGTTCCTCCTTTCAGAAAGCTAACACCAACAGTGGTGGAAACGGACACTCGGTCCTGCCTAATAATAATAATAACAATAATAATAATAATAATAATAATGACTATATATATATATATATATATTTTAAACTAGAGCGTTTTCTCAGCTGTAATTCGGTTACTCTGGTCTGAATCAGTTCGTGAGTTTGTAAACTCCAAGCGAAATGCTTCACTACAAATCACGTGACAATTTTCAGTCTGCAAATTGGCCAAACGTTTATGAGGCGGGAGCAACAAGAGTAAAAACAGGAAGACGGTGCTGTGAGTGGAGAACTTGAAAAATTTACGTTCATTTCATGGATAACTGCTAGCCTGGACATACCTTTGTACGTCTGTCGTATCTCGCCACATCTCAAAAGACAAAGCATTTGTTACTACTCACTAGCTGCTGACAGGCAGCTTTTTTCGTTCCTCTGTAAAACTCACTGCCATACTATGATTTGACAATTCAGGCCTGCCATGGTGACCCATGTGCAAATCTTTGCAAATTTTCTGCACCTACTTACAATTCGCTTGCAAAATGTGAAGAAATGAAGGGCTGTTTGAGACTTTTGCACAGAACTGTATGAAACGAAGAAAATATGAAATATAACACTCAGAAGGTTTGCAGGCCAATAGAAGTTTTTAGTTTGCTGTGCTGTAAATACAGCCTGGATAATACTCGATTTTAGAGAATTGCATCAAATTTTAGGGAGGGAAAAGTTATAGTGTTAATACTGTACTATTCAAAATGTTTCCATACTGGGATAGCCTAGAAATGGGCATTGCCATGGAGTTTTCACCTTGTCAGATTACACTCTTTTTTTTTCTTCTTTTTTCTTTTTTTTTTCCATGCACCTTAGAAGTAGGTCAGGTTGTCACAGAAAATCAGTTTTTACAATAACCTGGAAGTGGAAAATAAACTCCCTGGTGTGTCCCTGTTTCCTGACATGAACTGTGTGCGTGTGCAGAGCTGTACCACATGTGACAGCCACAGGGCTCACTTTCCATATTGGCTTTCTCTTTCTAATCACTTCCAGGAAACTGGTGGGTGGAGTTGACCTAGTTAATGTAGCACACCTGAGCAGGCTGGACTTAAGGCACCATGAAACAGCCTTACCAGAACCTCTCATTGCCTCTTCTCTGCTCTGCTCAACCTCCCAATTCACGCTGACCACATGCATACACTCATACCTCGTGTATGTTAACATATAAACATTGCAACACTTCATATCACCCTAAGACTGTGCAGTTTCCATCCTTTGTCACATTGTTTTGAGCTGGGGGTTTTTTGCCACACGCAGTGTTACAGTGACTGGATAGCATTACACTGAATGGGTGTAAATTAAAAATGAAATGCTAGATATTTAAGTGTTTAAAATATTTGATTGTATGTTGTGCTTTCCAGGTGGTTTCTGGCTTGGTGTGGACCAGGAAGGCATCACAGGGTCCCTCTCCTGGACAGGCATATTTTTTGGGGTGCTGGCTAGTGCCTGCGTCTCTCTCAATGCCATCTATACTAAGAAGGTAATGCCTGCCCTGGATGGAAACATCTGGAAACTGTCCTATTATAACAACATTAACGCCTGCGTCCTCTTCCTCCCTCTCATCCTTGTGTTCGGAGAGTTGGGCCAGCTCATCAAGTTCAGCCGTCTCACTGACATCAGCTTTTGGGGAATGATGACTCTCGGAGGAGTGTTTGGTTTCGCCATAGGCTATGTTACAGGGCTCCAGATCAAATATACAAGCCCGCTCACGCATAATGTCTCAGGGACTGCAAAGGCCTGTGCACAGACCGTCATTGCAGTAGTGTACAACTCTTCCACTAAAACCCTGCTGTGGTGGACCAGTAACATGATGGTTCTTGGTGGTTCGTCTGCTTATACTTGGGTAAAAAGTCTAGAAATGAAGAAGAGTCCCAACACAGTCCTTCAGGACTCAGCAAAGGAAAAATTGCTTTCAGGGGATAAAGAAAACCAAGTGTTGTAAGTTAATAAACTTTGTCGTTTTATCTATGTGGGCTGAGAATGTTGTGACAGTACAAATGAAGTAACTTTTATTCCAGAGGAAAAAGGAAAGTAAGTTAATTATGATATTCGTGGAACCTGTCTTTTTGTTTTTGTTTTTGTTTGTTTTTATGTGACAAATGTCGAGAGGTGAGGGGAATTGGTAAATTGTTGAAGTTTATTGAAGATGCGAGGGACAAGGTAATCAGAAACCTTGTGTAACTCTGATTGATCTACTACAGGCCTTTTTTATCCTTAAGGAAAGCAGTCCATGAATGTTTTAGTCCGTTACAGTTTTGAACTGTACACCATTTACTACTTGCTTTTGAACTAAATAATACTGGAAATTAAAAGTAAATATTGTCATGAGATATATTCATTTCATAATCACATTTCCAAACATATGTGAAGCAGATCAGGAAAAGGACCTGTTTGAATATGTGCATATGCATTTTCATATGCCACAGTTTACTTCTATAACTGCACCTGGTTTATTCAAAAGAAGCTACTTGAAAAGGTTTTTGGTGAGGTATAATTTGTGATCTCGCTTTTTAAGGTGTCATGAAATCATTGCAGCATTTAAGTTTAACAGAATGAAAGATTGTAATTTATGGTGTCTTTGCTAATGAAATGATAGTTTTCACATGTACTCTTTTGATTTACAGTTGACAAATGAAATGTATAGTTTTTATTAGTGGTGCAACGGATCACGGTTGATCCGTAATCCGAACCGATCCCACTCCACGGTTCGGCACGCACGTGATCCGAAGATTCGAAAAAGAAGGGAAAAAAAGTATGGGTATGGTGCGCGTGGTGGGTCTGTCAAGCGATAGTTATGGCCAGCGCTAGCGGTCCAAGTAGAGGAGCAGAGGAGTTTGCGGTATTTAAGCAGCCCTTTGCTGCCCAGTCCGACCGGGCTAAAGCTATTACAAAAGCTACTGGGGTGTTTAGCTGCAGACGGGAGGCCGTATTCCGTTGTGCAAAACAAGGGGTTTAAACTATGATGAACGTGCTTGAGCCACGCTATGATATCCCGTCCCGTTCGCGTCCACTTTAGTGGCAAGATCGTTCCAAGCATATATGAGCAGGAGAAGATTTAAGTTATGGCTGAACTGTCCCAGGCAACTTCTGTTGTCCTAACTACTACAAATGGATGGACCTCCAGGGCAACGGAAAGCTACGTGACAGCTCATTATATCACAGCAGAGTGCGATATAATGACCGGTATGTATTATTGCAGGGTTTACCTTACAATATAAAGTGCCTTGAGGCGACTGTTGTTGTGATTTGGCGCTTTATAAATAAAATTGAATTGAATTGAGTGGTAGATGCAAAGACTGTACTGCCCTATATTGTACCATAATTTTTTTTAATAATTGCGTGGAATGAGTCTAGAGTTGAATGTTTTTAACAGGCAAAAAATACTTCAATAAGTAAATAATTAAATGTTCAATTTCAATTTTTTTTTTTTTTTTTGTTATTTTTTTTTTTTTTTTGCTGATCCGAAAATTGAGTGAGATTTTTGATCCGTTGCACCACTAGTTTTTATACAGACATTTTCCATAGATCATCATAGATTAAAAGTCCAGAGCAAATGTAGCAAAGTTTGAGTTTTGACATCATTTCCTGTGTGACACTTCTCAAGAAAATGTTAAAGGCCAGCCTAATTTTCCTCATTTCCCTTTCACTTCCCTGTGGGATAAATGAACCTGGTTGTCATGTCAGTAGCTCATTTGGGACATGGGAAAGAAGATCAGTCATTGTGACATATTTTCTTCCACTTAATGTGGCTGATTCTTGGCACATGGAGAAGTTTCCCTGAAACATAAAGCTCTTTGATATGAATGAATAAAAGCTAAGAAATGACTCTTGTAAAACAATGTTTCTTTATTAAATGTATATGATTAACTTTAGTCATTTTCAGTACATTTATTTATTTATTTATGAGATGAGATAGCCTTTATTTGTCAGTTGCAGGTCTTTTGCCCACAACCGAGATGACAGACCTTGCCGACCGTACATACAATACACAAACATCACATTGGGGAGACAGGTCAGGCTAGGTAGCGAGGAAAAAAATCATCGAAATGCACAGATATCAACACACCATAGCACAATAAACACAGACAGCAACATGGGAAAGAGTTCCAGTGTGTACATCTGATCTGGGACCGCTGCAATCTTAAGCGTTGGAGGTGGCATTGGATCCGGGGTAGGAAGGGTGATGCGTCGGTGAGTGCTTATCAGTATCAGTATTTGTATGTGTGTGTGTCCATAGTTCAGCTGAGACAGTGTCCTTCGCCCTGCTAAGCTAACTAAACAGTCTTCCAGCCAACCCAGGTTGCCTTGCATGGAATGGGAAGGAACAGACTAAACACAGTCGTTATCAGGGTGTTTTGTTCAGCTCCAGCCTTGTAGCTGGCGCCGAGAGGGTATCCGCATGAAGTGATGTTATTTTTTTTTACTTTAGTGTGAACAGCTCATATGAATTTCAAAGCAGTTCTACAGTCCAACACTGGTCTCTCAATCTCCCGTTGGAGAGCCACGAGCTTCGCCATACTTGCGTTCTGTGATGTTGTCATTTCTTGTGCTCAAGGAGCCAATTTCTGAGAACTCACGGCAGTGTGCCTCCCCGAGATGTTATCCAATTTTGCGCTCAGAGATGTTATTCCGAGCGAGCCCTTCCGAGATGTATCCAGTCTGCAGTCAGAGATCTTATTCTGAGTATTCACAGCAGCCGTAGCCTCTCCAAGAACTTATCCGTGCTGACTCAATGAGCCCATTTTGAGAAACTCACGCCTCTCCCATCGTTCCAATCCCAGCGGGCAGCCTTGTGGGGGTTTGAACAGCCGGTTCCGCTTCCTTAATTCTTTGATAAGTCAGGGCCAAGCCAGCTCCGATCAGCCAGAACCCTGTTACCATGGTTCCGAATAGGTAGATATCTTCAGCACTCAGGCTCACCCAAGCCCAAACTTCTCGTTGAGAAAGGGGTGTCAATTGCATCTAGGGACCAGTTGATCCAATCCATAATTCCTCTTTTAGGTTTTAGAGAACAGACTGTGAGAGAGTGTTCCAGGGAAAATACAAAAAAAAAACACGAGACTAGACAAGGACATAAGCAGGGAAGATAAGGGAGAGGAGAAAAAGTGTGTCCGCCTCCTCCGAGAGCCAAAGAAGAAAAATCTACATAGTTCTCTAGTATCTCTCAATAACCTTTTTTCAGTACTTTACTCATTTTAAAATAACAAATTTGTTTTTTTTTTTTCTTACAAAATTTGTCAATATTTTCTGATTGAAAATTCTTAAACACAACACCAAAGATGTGTGCTGTAAAGCTATGTAGAGCTTAAAGTCAGTTTTCTTCTACCTTCTATCAAAGTGGCTCTCTTTTCACCAGGAAAAATCACCATGGTAACTTATGCTGAATTCATAAACTAGATGGGAGCAAGTCATGTTTAGAGTTTTGAGCTTTCACTGATTCTTTTATTTACAGCATGTTGCGTTATACAGACTCTCTGCTGGGCCAGTATGCTTTATATGTGAAAGTTGTTACCAACATCGTGGATGAAGCCCAGCTGTAACACTGTAGCCGCTAAGACTGCTTCACAGTAGCACTGAAACTTACATGCATTCAGCTGATGATGCAAAAAATACTGATGTGTTTTGTACTTGGCCCTAACCCTCTACTGCGTAGTGTTGCCCCGAGGCAGCAAACCACATTTTCATGCCTCACACTGGCCCTTCAAAAAACCCAAAAAAACCCAAAACATTTTTTTCTCAAATAATGCTACCAGGCACATCTCTTTCCAATAAAATGATGAGTTGAAGGTGGTGTGACTTTCATTT